GTTTTCTTGGTCCCCCCAAAAAGATATCCAGTCATCTCGGAGATGGTGATGGTTCTGGAAACTCATCTACTGTGCTTAAATTTGTAATTTTGGAGGTGAGGTAATGTTAAAATCCTCTAAAAAAAAAAAGCATAATTGCTTATACCTACGTTGAAAGTATTTTGTAAATACCCGTCTGCATATACAGCTCTAAATAGACCAAGCTAAATGTTGTTCAAGTCAGTACACTTGCTAAATGGAGACAGAATGTACATACTGGATCAGACAAAAACTGGCCTGGAGCATACATGGATGGATTAGATTTATAAACAAAAAATCAAAGGTACCAGAATGCTGTTCTGGATCATTGCAGCCCAATTTGACCCCTGCTGGTCCTTGTTGAACTGCCAACATCAACCTGGAACTAGAGCAACATCAAAATGATTGTGAGGTAAAATATCAACTAAGCATATTAGGATAAAACATTAGGATTAAAAAAAAAAATCTACAAAAAAAAATTATAAGTAATAATTAATAAATTATAGAAATAATAATTGCATGTTTGAAGTGTTTTTATATATAAAAAAAACTATTGAATGTATTTTTAAAAATTATAAAGTGGGGATTTTATTAATCTGCCAGTAATTTACGTAAATGGGCTGCAATTATATAAATGTTCCCTCAACGACAACATCATGGGGTGTCAATAGATCCAGATTATCTTGACGCAATGTCTATGTGGCAAACTTTTCCCACCTTCCAGTAACCTCTCCACAGCCAGTCATTTAATGAGGTCTTCCCTAAAAATAACATTCTGTCTGGAGTTGTGTTCTGTACATGCTGCGTTGGAATGGCTGTCCTGAAGGTGCTGTAAATCTGGAGTCCCGTGTTAGGGCTTCAGTGGGTGACCTTTTGCCACTTGAAGGGTTCAAGAGTGATGTCACCCTAAGCAACTCATCGAGAGTCGCCACTCTAGATGAGGACTAACTAGAAAACCAATTGCTTCCTGTGGGGCATGAGCCATGCTAACATTAGCTGTGAAATAAAGGTTTATGTATAGATGTTTGCTGTGAAGTTTTGATTTTCTGGGCCATTGGAGCAAAAATAAAACAAAACAGAAAGCCTCATGAGAACGCATCAACATTTTTTGAAGTATAATTGAGTCGTCATAACTGAAGTTTCAAATATATTTAAACAAAGTCAGCTCAATATGATTACAGCTAGCAAGAAAAAAAACATACGGTTTAGCTGTATATTTAGCTCTTTAGCAGTCTGGATGATGGTGCAAATAAACAGGGTTATATCATGTATTTTTA